GTACGTGCCCCCCGGCACCCCCCGGACCCGCGCCGGTGCCCTGCCATCGCGCTTCCCCTCTCCCCCCTCTTCCCCCTTCCCAAAGGATGCTTTTCCCAGTATGTTCTTCCCCATCTCCTCTTTTCCCTGCCTAAAGGCTGATGTGTTACGCGCCTTCCCTTTCCCCCCTCCCCAAAGGGTGACTTCTCAGTGTGTTTTTCCCCTTCTTTTCTCCCCAAAGGGTGACTTTTAAATACAACGGCTCTACCATCGTCCCTGGGGACCAAGGGGTAGACTACGAAGCCTTCAAAAGGAAGTGCACAGGTAAGCGCCGTCTCGGTTGCTTTGGCACCTGACCCCCCTCCTTGCTAGGAGAGGATGGGAGAAAACTTGGGGAAGCTGGAATTGGTGCTGCCGCTTCCCCAGCTCTGCCCTGTCCTGCGAGATCGGTTTTCCAGCCGCCACGGAGCGCAACTCACCGAGTCCATAGTCCAGCCAGTCCTTTGTCTCGCCCTTCGACTCTAGGTTCCTGGGGCTTTTGTCCCCCCCTTCACCCCATTTTTCATTGCTTCTCGGTTATAAGCAAGGCAAGGCGCTCGACTTGCAACGGTTTCCTCGTTGCTGAAGAGCAAAAGAGGCTCCGTTTTTGTGGCTAAACCGATGGAGCCAAGGAGAGCGTTTCTGCAGTGAAACTCCGCTGTGAGCCGGACTCGCAACGCTGGAGTAGCTGCAGTTGGACGGCTGGCTCGGGTGCTTCAGGAGCGTGAAACCGCAGAGAGAGTGGTTATGTCGGGAAGATGAGCTGGAGTGACACCTCACCGCAAGCCATGGGGTGTGTGGCGGGGCACAACCCCAGCAGTTGCGGCTCTAGGTTTAAACGTGGCCGTTGGTGTTTAACTGTCGGGTGTAGGACGTGAACAGGAGAAACAAACCTGGGGAAAACAAAGAAATCAAGGAACATAGAACTTAATCCGATCTTAACTTTTGACGTGTTTTACAAACGTGGGCTTTGACTGCTCTCGGAATCCCTTCTGGGGGGATGGTACAGCTTTTCCTCCTATCCTGGCTGCTGTTTAACAGTGGCACCAAGTGACACGAGACATGAAGCGTCTGTAACTAACTCTGGACCGTACCAACACCGTCCTCGCTCACCCGGTTGCTCTGCAGTCCAGGAGCATGGCTGACCTGTGTCTGTGCGGCAAAGGATCCGTGTGCTGCGGGGTGTCTCCCTTCTCCGGGTGGGGCGAGTCCCGCAGGCGCTGTAGTCAGTCCCGCAGCGACTGAAACACCAGTGCCCGTCCACATTGGTCTGTCGAGTGCTGGGCTTGGCTGTATTTTACCGAGTCGGAGGGAAGGGCTTCCAGTAACTTAAATGGGGGCAGGACTGGACTGATGCTTACCAGTCAGTAAATATCGTAGGAGGGGAAGTAACCCCTAAATCAAGATGGTTTAGGCTGCTCTGCCCTGACATTTGCAGTGAGGTCTTGCTAGGATTAACACAGCGACTCGTTTCCAGCTGTTCTTGAGACCTTTGCAGGGAAAACTCTCAAAACCAAAAACGGATTTTTTAGAGCTGACACCCTGTACCACATGGGCGACACAAGGAAAAAGTAATTCCTGGTGTACGGGGAAACCCAGGGCTCAGCACTTGGGAGGTTCATGCCAACGTTATCTACAGGGTTGGTAGTTTTCTTGGGAGGTCAAGAGCTTCAGTATCTGAGTGCCATGTTCTCTGTCTCCTCTTGTGGCCAAGATAACTGAGCATCTCCAGACATCGGTGGCTTGCAGAGGAACCTTCCCCCTATGTTTTCTCTCCTCGCTTTTAGGGAGTCTCTCTCTTCTTTCGCCTGAACTGATTTTTAATGTTTTGGCTGGAGTGGCACCCTCTCAAGAGCAGTTCCTGTCTTCCCTTCTGTAGCAAAGGGAACACTGTGACCGAGTGGCTAAGCAGAGGGGCTTTGGCAGAGAGCAGTCACCGGCTGGGCTGGGTAGGATGTGTATAACCACTAATGGAGGCACATACTGCACTTTGGAACGTGGCCAGTTTTGTTTTCTTGCCATCGTTTGCATGTGCCAAACCCTTCTTTATAAACAGGGCATTCAAGCAGAGTTTAAGGAAACCTTGTTCTGTACCAGCAAAATGCCAAGCTGGCCCCAGTACTGAAGCATTTTGGCAGCAAGAAGGAAATTTTGCCTATTTTAGGCATAAGCACGGTAAGGGAAGTGTTAAAGGGCATCTGTGGGGTAGGCTGTGGCCTATTGTTAGCCTTTAATGTGGAGCTAAATCCCTTACAGCTACTCAACCGCTCCCTTTCCCTCTTTCTTCTCTCCCTCTTCCTTTCACGCACATGGCAGAGCCTGGGCAAGAGGTTATCCTCAAACCTACCTGTGGAGCAGGTTAAAGAAGTAGGCAAATTCCAGACCTGGTGCTTGGCTAAGTGCTGGAAAGGATCTTCTTCACCCAGGAATGACGGTGTGGTAGTTGGGGAAGCAAGAGGTGTGGGTTTTGGTGCCTCCATCTGCACAGCAGCCCTTCGCTTGGACCACCAGACGTAGTCAGAAAACAAGGCTTGTGCCAGCAGCAAAGTTAGAGTTTCCCTTCCCACCTGGAAGAAAGGTGCCAAATGTTACTATGAGGTAGAGCTGGTTAGAGTATTTCTGCTGAAACAAAGTCTGTAAAAATGAGTAGGGAGGGATGGGAAAAGCTGTGAAGTATTATTCCTTCCTGTTGCTACGTCTGTTCCCTCCTGGCCCATGCCCCGTGTCCTATGTTTTGCTGGAGGGGAGGAGAGCTACCATCAGTGCTAACAGCTGCAGAAAATGTGATTGAAAGAGTAAAAAAAAAAAAAAAGGCATAAAAATAAACTTCCTTCCTTGTTTTGAATTCCTGTTTTGTGAAAAACGCTGCCCTCGAAGCTGCAAAGTACTGCAGCTGCTCTGGTGGAAGCTGAGCGTCGTTTGGTGCTTGGAGAGAGCGGGAATGGAAAACCTCTGTGCGCAAAGTGTCACCGAGCCCCTCTGTCGGAGCTTGCTCTGTTCTGCCTTCTCCACCACCTATTTCGGCACCGTGCTGGGTGGCGACCGGCCGCATCCCCCGCGTTCCTGAACAACCGTTCTTAGAACAGCCCCTTCGGCACGCGGTACACGCTGCTTCCCCCCGGGGCATCAGCTTCCAGGGCAGGCGGTATCGGTGTGCGCCACTTCATGTGGCTCCAAGATCAAAAGGTCTTTTGTACCCGTTTGGGAGAGATTTGCCTGCGGTGGATATCCTGCCTTGCGTGACGCGGAGGTTAGGAAGGGCTGGGGGGGTTATGGTCGCAGGGTTGTATTTGTGCCTTTCCTTCCCCCCCTACACAACCCTTCTCGTGCAGAGCGTGGCTCAACCCATCACCCATCCTGCAAACCTCCTCGGGCAACGAGAGTGGTTGAGGACAAAGGCAAAAGCAAGAAACTAAAATCACTTCTTTTAATGGAAGTAGCAGTTTTTTAAAAAGGCCGTGTTAGACCCCAGCTGTGTGTGAACCACCAGCACAGCAGGAAGGTGCAGCAGAGAGACGCTGAGCTCCTGGGGCAGTGGGGCCTGGGCCAGGAGCTGCTGCTGCCTTGTGCGGGTTTCACTGCTCCCACTGCCCGACTCAGCTGTGCAGCACACACCCGACCTCCGGGTCACTTAGCTGGGGTGGGAGCTTTGTCATCCTGAAGCTTTGTGTACTAGCAGGAAGGTTGAAGGAACTGCATAATCAAACAATCATCCTTTTCCCATCCCACTGCTTGGGGACAGCAATTGCCACTCGTAAAGGAGGAAAACATGGTAAGAAAAGCTCCTTGGGTGCCCTTTTGTTCAGGGCCCCAGGATTATGCTGCAGACACAGCCTGAACCCTGGGCTTGCGCATCAGTGGCGGTCGTGCCGTGTCTGTCGAGGTCTGTGTCGGGCCACAGGACGACTCGCACGCTCTGGCTGGGGGCGGTAGGCACCGCTGGCATCTCAGGCACTGGTCTTCTCGGTGCTCAAAGCCCCAGATGTGTGAACAGCTCCAGCCTATCCCAAAGTGGAGTCGGGGAGGTTGGTTTAAAGCACTGGCACAATAAAGTCCTTATGTGATTAGGAGGTGGCCGCTGGTGGCACCTCCTCTTGCAGCCCTGCGTGATGACCTACGTGCGTGACTCTATCGGCCTTGGTCTGACCCAGAGAGTCTGGAGACCAAAGCTGAGGACACTAATTGTGTCAGGGTCATTGCACACCCGGAGCAGACACCCCCTGTGTTTTCTGGCTAAGGACTGTTTTGGTTGGGCCTAACCGCACCGATTAGTTCTGCATTAAACAAGGACTTAATTCAAGGCTTTTGATCCATTTTACTTCACAGTTCGAGGCCTTGCCTCTGCAGATGGCGTGGATCCAGGCGCAGCATTAATTTGGTGTTTAGTAGTACGTGCCATCAGTACACTTGTAAAAAAATCCACAGCTGAGCTGGCGAATTCGAAGCCAGAAACAGAGATAAGAGTTGAAGGTTATTGTACGGAAGGATATGAAGGCTCTTGGGTTTTTTCTGTTGTTGTTTTTAATTTCAGAGCCTCATAACTGGGCTGGTGATGCTGTTGCTGAGAACAGCAGAATGACATATGACTGAGATACTGAACTAAAAGCCCGGTGAAAAACATCCGCTTAAATTGTTGCGTGTCGGTAGCATGGGACAGCTTGCCTCGGTTTCCGTGTTACGAAGCAGCAGCATCGACTGTCTGTGGCTCACTTTAATTCTTTTAAAGTGAAAAATTCTGCCATTAAGTAGCGGAGAGGTCGGAAGACTCCGTTTCCCGCCCCCCCACGCCACATGTGAACAGTTGTTTTCCAATGCCTCTGGGACAAAAGAGATAACGAGCCTTTTATTTGGAAAGCCCCAAATAATTGCAGTGACAGCATGAAATGGGATGGTTATTCATGTGTCTGGAAAGATCAGGCCAAAACCACACTGTGCATTCAGCGGGAGGAAGAGCTGCAGATCTTTGGTCTGAAATAAATACTCTATAAAATCATTTCTGGTTGACATAGACTGTTAGGGAGAAAATAGAGAGAGAATCAGCTCCTAAGACGAGTGGAGCTCTTTGGGGCGTCTGACCGCTGTCCTATAAAGCCTGGCCTGCATTTCAACCTCAGGAGCTGAGAGCTGAGAGGTCACCTGGTCGGCACCTTAGGTTGTAGGAAAGATCTGCAAAAATGCACGAGGACATATAATGAGATAGGTGCTTATCTGCATTTGGCTACATCTTAAGTTGCTAAAATGGGCTTGGTAAATCAGTCTCCTACTGCTTTTGTTTTTCTTCTTTAATGCTCCTCTTGCCTGCTTTCCCTTCAGACCTATTTAAAGGAAGACCTGGGGACATGGGTGGCTTATGGGAATTTCACAGTGTCTGTGCAGCTCTCCCTGCCCCTGCGCCCTCCCTGCTTGCTGGGAAAGGCTGGGAGGGTCAGCAGTGGCATGTGTCTGATCTGGCTGCCAGCTGGAGCTGTGGACTGTCCCTTGCAATGGGCAGGAGGTTGTTGTAGGGAATACTCTCATTCGTTTTTGTGGGAGTAACTTCTCAGGTCGAGCTCTGCACTGAAATAGTAACCCTGCACTCAGTTCAGCTTTGTGATGCTTGATAAAAACGGCATGGCTGTGGGGCTGCGTTTGGCCATCCTGTGCTGGGCATAAGAGCAGGTGAAGAAGAGCATTATGGCTTTTGCATATCCTTCGTTTGGGGGCCTGCCCAGCCCTTACTTCTGGCTGAGGCAACCCTTCCTTCTTCAGGGAAGGAGAACAAAGATTGGCTGGATCCTGCTGCCCTCCGTGTATACCTCCGTCAGGAGCGCTGTCACTGGGGCACCAGCAGCTCGTTCTGGTGAAACGCTGCCGCTGGCTTCGCCGGACCAGAAGCCAGCACGGGGTCACCCCCCCGGCACTTGTGTCCCGAGTACCCTGCGCTGGGGTCAGCAGGTCACAGGGAGAAGGGTGGGTGCCCCAGGTGCAGCAGGCCCTGTGGTCGCGGTCCCGAGGTCAGACATTCTGGATTTGTCGTAGGTGACTGAATGAACGTGGCTGCCTGGCGTGAGGCAGCATCACACCAGAGATCTGTGGGCTTAGTAAGGGGTCACGGGGGAAAAACCAGCGTAGGAAGGGGTAGGGACAGCTTTCTGTCTGCACTTCTAGCCCTGCGGCTACAGGGGTGGCTCAAGAGGTGGAAAAATGACAAATTAATCAAAAATTAATCCAGTTGAAACAAATAAACTAAAACCTGCTGAAACCTGCCGTATGCCATCAGGAGTTCACCGCTGGACAGAACGCTGAGGCAGATCTTGCCATCTGCATGTGACCTTGGCTGAGCGGGCGGGTGATGCTGGGAGCGGGGGCCTTATCCTGGCTTGGCTCGGGCTTGGCCGTTCGGATCCGTAAGACTCGGAACCAGGAAGCTTTTGGCAGGGTGTTTCTTTCCCGCAGCTATTCTCTTTTGCTGACGAGTCGGTGCGTTTTGACCTAACGTGGAATTTGTTAGTACAGCTGAACCAAAGGGTTTGGGGGGATGAAAAAGAGGAGAACACCATCAAGGGAATCTCCGCAGCCTGGCATCCAGCTTTGTTGACAGCCAAGGGCAGCTCAATCCGTACATCTGGAAAATCCTGCCTACTGATAAGGAAGGGGTTTGGAGACCAAAACTAAGGGATGCTCATTCGGGCATTCACTGTACCTCTCACGGTTTGCGTAGCCCTCTTGTCACGCTGCACTACCGTAAAGGAGTAATGGTTGTAGTAGGAATTAACGTTGTTCATTTCTGCTGTTTGTAACTTGCGAGAACTTCTCAAATGCAGCTGCTATTTCCATCCTACCCACCTCTGTTATTTGCTTCCTTCTGCCCTGAAATTCATGGCTTAGTGACCAGGAAGGCCGTTGTGTGGAGCTAGGCAGGATTTCCTCTTTCAGAGGAAATCTACTGTCTCTCTCTGATTTGTTACACTCCTCCACACACCCAGCAAATTCCTAAAGCACTGTCAGTGGGTTTGCGTGAAAAGGGGGTGTGTGGGGGTAGTGAATATTAATGCCTTGAGACTCGTAGGGGGTTGGCTCTGATGGCACTGATGGCTTCCAGCGAGGTGACCTGGCAGGGTAGAACTGAAGAACTGTGAAACAGGAAATCTGGGAATGTGCCTTTTGAGCCCGTTATCAGTCGGAACATGCTTCAGACTCCTTGTGAAACTCAACCACTTCCGCTCAGGGATTTTGCCCTGCAATTATAGGGGCTCCTACCCCGGCTGAACGAGTGCTAAAAAGCTCCACATCTGTCCCTGTTGCCCTTTTGGGAAAAGAGCCATGCTAATTGCTAAGGGCTCCGATTCATATTCCCCTTGGCTTTGTCTGCAGCTGCTGAAAGGTTCCTCGGCTGCAGCTCACAGACCGGCACATCAAGTGAGAGCATCACGTACCGGTAGCTCACGTTAGATCCACTGGGCTGAAAACTGTGGCAGCTGAAGAGCCCGTTGTGCTTACTGTGGGGATACAGCCTCCGTGGGGAGAGGGGAGGAGACAGCACGCAGCTCGGGTGTGACCTTTCAAGCCCCCACACAAAAACCGGCCCCAGGTAAACGCTGCCCGAGAGGGTGACTCAGAGCCCCACATCTAACCTCAGTTGCTCATTAAACTTTTAACGTGATGAGGTAAGAGTTGCTCATAGTCACTGAGCAGCAGGTGATCTCACAGATGAAAGCCCGTTGGAATGGCCGGGGTTGGCTCTCGTTGGACCGGGGATGGAGCTGCTTTCAGACAGGACGGGGCAGCGCTCTTCTGCCGAGCAGCAAGTCCCAGTGATCTGTGGGCTCATGTCAAATTAAATTGCATGCTGGCAAATTCCTGCAACTTCCTTTCTCAGTTGCTAGGAAAAAGCACTGCTTTTCCACGTAGCTGTATTTTTGCATTATCTTTATTATAAAGGGGCATATTCCCCAGCAGTCTTCAGGACCTGCACCAGCCTTCGGTGAAGGGGCAGGGAGGAGAATCCTACATATTCAGGGTGGAAAGTGATGGGAAGTCCAAGGGAAGGGCTGTGACACGGTTACAGTGTAGTAAGGGACAGGACTTGGTGACATTAAAGTGCCTTCCAGCACTGTTCCCATAGGAACCACAGTACAATTCTTAGCAGAGCCTGGCCTCCTTTGCTGTCAGATCTGGGAAAGCAAGGTTTTTTCATAGAACTGTTAATAGTAACGTTAGGGGATTTACTGTCTCTCTTCACCTTGGGTATTTCCTGGCTGTCGGTTCATTTATGGTTCTAATCAATCTTGGGAAGAGGATTTACTGTCAGAAACAGGAGTCCCTCTGGGCGTTTCTTGTACTTGCCAGTAATAGGGTATGTGAGAGGGGAGTTTTGTTTGCCTGCACTGTTGATAGACGACTCTAATTCTCCTTCCAAAGATCCATCTGGATTTTTCCTTTGAATAAGACCTCTCTTTGCTTCAATTTTGAAATCTTCAGAGGAGTTGGTTGTAAACACTGCACTGGCTGACACTCCCACCCATACATTTTCCAGGTTTCCCCAGTAGTTTTCTGTCAGCTACAGACGGGTACAGAGAGAACAAAACAGGGAGAGCACAGGTGGATTTTTTTCAGGCTTAAAGACGTCTTATCTTTGATCGAGTAGAAGTTGTCTGTACTCACACTTGGGCAAAACCAGGTGTTAAAGAAGCTCTGTCAGCTTTCAGAGAAAATCCCACTTTTTGGTTTTTTTGCATCGATTTCTAGCAGCTTCTTTTCTGGGGATGAGCAATTTAGAGCTGCTTCTCCCCAATCCCCGGAGCTCCTGGGGCTGTCCTGACCGTTGGCGGAGCGTGCTGTAACAGATCCAAGGATGGGGATGTTGGCAAACATTACTGCACCTGGGCCTGCATTTCCACCTACAGCCGTCAAGACAGCAAATAACCATAAAGCATGCTGAACTGGTCACAGCAAGCGCAACCAGGATTAACACGATTCTTTCCAAACAGCAAGTTTGTTCTTCTGTTTTGAGTCATAGCATTTCATTTAAAAGCTCCTGAGTGACCTGTAACAGATGAAGTGGCTATGGTTAGGTATATTCCGTGGTTGCACAACTGTCCATCTGCTCTGCTTTTCTGGACGATGCTGGTCGAAGGCTCCAGCATCACGCATGCCACGGAGGCTGAGGATGTGAGAGGATGGTATCACACGCTTTCGAAGTGCCTGTCATCACGAAGGCGTCCAACTGCCTCGGCTGATGAGTCACCCTGCACTGAAGGAACGAACGAGCTCTTGGAGACAAGGAGTTTACAAGGTTTTTACACATACGGCCAGACTACATAACTCTAGTCTGGCGTGATGTAGCAGAATCCAGCTGTGAAACGAAGGTCAGAACAGTTCTAAAATCCCAGGCCTTTCTCCACAGGGCTTCAGAAGGACTAGAAAAACACATCTGGGGAAGTAATTGCAGATTTTTCTTTTCCTTCTTCTTGTAAACTCGTTCTACACGGGAGCCAGAAATGTTGCTGAGGGGAAGGAGGGGAAAGGATCAGATTTGCACAATGGCCAGTTTCTGGGTATACGGTGTAAAATGTGACCCTAATCCTGCTATCCTGTGAGACAGAGATGCTGGGAAATCACTTTCTTCCCTTCTTGACCAGTGACCTGCAAATGAAGGATCTGGCTGGGCATGTGACTGGGGTTAGCTCTGTGCTCTCAAACTGCCTGTTGGACGTATTTTAGCCCTTTCCAAACTCCCTAGCAGCATGCTGATGCGGTGTGGGGTGGCTGGCACAGCCGTTTCCTCCCAGTAACTCGGAACACCCCAGGAAGAGGCAGACCTAGCACTGGCAAAGCCACCTTGCAAGCGAAGGACATAGGAGCAGAGGCCCTGTATTGCCCCGTTAATCCTGAACGATGGTATTGTAACACAGCACCAGTGCCTTGGCTTGGTCTTTGAGAACAATGGTCTCACCCCAGCAAATGGCAAGGCAGGGATGTTTCTGGTTTTAATCATTTCATCCTTTTTGCTTTGTCTCTCCAGATGATGTTCGATTGTTTGGCTTTGTCCGATTCACCACCGGTGATGCCATGAGCAAGCGAGTCAAGTTTGCCCTCATCACTTGGATTGGAGAGGACGTCAGTGGCCTGCAGAGAGCCAAAACTGGGACCGACAAGACTCTGGTCAAAGAAGTAGTACAGGTAACCTCTTCCCTCTGCTTCTCGCCGCCAATTCGCATCGCTGTTAGCTCTACAAACAGCAGCAGGAAGGGAGAGAGGGGGAAGGATTGGATCATCCCGCAACTTAGTAGTTAATCCGTTAAAAAGCAGGCAGTTTCCTACTGCCTGTCTTCCTACTAGGAAGACTTAACATCTGCCCTTTGAGCACTCAGGCATAAAGAAGCACCTTTGAGCTTAAGGCTGTCTTAACTATATCACGAGGAGGGAATATATGCATTCTCCTCCTTGTCACCATTAAGATGTTTCCCAACTTCCTTGATAAGGAAATAACATAATACTGAGTGGTAGGGAACAAGCAGTTTGAAGCTCAGCAGGTAAAATTAAACAGAAAACCCCACACCCTTGTTTACACTTCTCTTGAGGCCTTTTGTCTTTGCACAATGAATTTGTGGACCTAATGAACTAAAGTCTGAAGTCCCTATCAGTATCAATTAACTAGCAGGTCTTAATAGCTAACTAGGTTTGAATAGTCTCCTGTTTGGCGCTGGGCGTATCAGGGAAGAAGAGAAATGCGCTTAGCACACACCTTGGAAGGGCTTCACTTGAATTTGTCTGCCCCGAATGAGCTTATCATTTAACTCTCTCGGGGCCTCCCAGGGCGCTTGGAGCCGGGCTCGCTCTGTCGGGCTCCGAGCGCCGTCCAAGTGAGCGGAAACAAGAAACAGCTGGGAGAGAGGTGAACTGTGGAAGGCTGCAAAGAGTTGCTGCCGAAAAGCTGACTTTCATGGGGAAGATGCTAACGTTTAGCATGCTACTCTCTGAATAAGTCCTTAAAGCAAGATTAGCTCTTTCAACTAGACCTGCAGCCAGCTCTCCAACACCTGAGAAACGGTCTTTCTTAAGCCTGGGGAACAGGCTGACCACGGAAATAACCTCCCTCAGTGACGGTGTTCATGTAAAGACATCTCCCAGTAGGACAATAGGAAGGATGAGAATGATGCCCCCTCGATTCATTGGTAGTTTGTGTGGTACAGAAGATCAGATTTGGGTAAGAAGCACGAAGAATACAATAAATTCACATCCTTCCAGAAGATAAGCACCGGTGCTAAATGTTTCAATGTGACAACTGCACGGAGGGGGGTCCGTTCGGAAAAGAAACTTCCCTAATGACACCTGAGAGCTAGGAAAGCAAATCTCTGTTCCTGTGAAGCAGCTGAAACAATGTAACTGTAGCTGGAGATGAAATTACAGGGTACTAATGAGAGTGCTAATGAATGACTCATGGAAGAGTCACTAAGCCCAAGAGTTTTTTACAAAATATGTTTAGACCCTTTGTTCCTGTTGAGCTGAATAGCATTCCTGATGCTGCTCTAAGATCTGTCCCTCAGGTCTGTTACATATAATTTGCAATTTCACTTGTTTCATCCTCGATTAGAGGTCTGTATGAGTAGAGAATTGGGTGGAACATTAACCATTCTTGGCTGTTACTTAACAGCTTTCATGTCCCAATTTATCCGTACTACAGTATGGAAACAATACTGCTTGTGCTTAAGACACTTCTCCTGAGCAGCCACGTCTGTAACCCACTGCAGAGCATTTCAGAGTGGAATGTCAGTGGTGATCTCCTTTCCATAAGAAATTCTCTCGACACCTATTTTGAATAGTTCTGCGCGTGCAGAACTGAATCCTTCCGAGTGGAGTGTGATAAAAGCAGAACGATTTTCTTTTATGCACGCACCCTTGCAGATAATCTGTCAGAACAGAAGAGGACAAGAAAGTCCAGCTGAAATATAGTGTAAGGAGTTTATCCCAGAGCCATTTCACTCTTACTGGGTCTCTTGACCTTCAAGTACACTCCCAGTCACCCCACTGCTGCTGATTTTCAGAGTATTTGAGGTGCGGGTTACACATAGAAAAATGCAGTTGGTTGGTTGTTGCAATGACAAAGTACGAATCTGACTCAGTGTTGGTTCATCATTTGGAATAAGTAGCACCCTAAAGTGGGAATTTTTTTCTTTAGACACCCTGAAGAGAACCTTTAGCGGTGTGCGTGGCCCCTAGGTGCACTTGAGGTGCGGGTTACACATAGAAAAATGCAGTTGGTTGGTTGTTGCAATGACAAAGTACGAATCTGACTCAGTGTTGGTTCATCATTTGGAATAAGTAGCACCTTAAAGTGGGAATTTTTTTCTTTAGACACCCTGAAGAGAACCTAGGCTGTGGATGCAGTTTGCCTCTCTGCGGCTTTAGTGGTGTGCGTGGCCCATAGGTGCACGTAACGGCTCTCCTTCCGAGGAAGCGTGGGCTGAGGAGGCTCTTGGTACAGCAGCTGGCAGCTCTGGTACTTGAATGCCACCTGGCAAGCACACTCCACCAGGCTGCATCCATGGAAGAGGCTGTTCACACATGGTGGTTATTAACGGTCTCCTATAAGGGCCTGCCCTACGGAAAATGCAAGGGATATCAACTGTTGAAGAGTGGATTATGGGCTTGTGAACAAAAGGATGAAATACCGTCAAGCGAGGAGTGGAGCAGGGGTGCTCTCCCTTGGAAGAGGGAGCAGGTGCTGTGGAATCTGCAGAGGTGGCTTGGGAAGCAACACTGATAGTCAGGGGAGAAGGTTGCCAGAAAACCTCTCAGGAAGAAAGGACAATGAGTTTTTAGCTGTAATAACTGTAAAATTACAGGGATGGATCTCATCTGGAGCAAACAGCCATAGTTCTGATCTGTGCTAGCTGAGAATCAGGTCTTCTTGCTTATTTGAGACTATCCTTGTTGCCTCTTTCCTGTTGTTGGAAAAGGGTTTTGCATTTATTGTATCTATTCTGGATTGTAGAAAAATGCATTTTGCATTTAAGGAGCATTCAGTAGCTTTTTTTCACAGCCATTTATTTTCGATCCTTCCCCCTTTACGTCAGCTGGAAATCCTGGACCAAGCCTGTGACCTGGTCCAGGCTCTCAGCTTGTACTCGTAGATGCCTCGCTAGAACATCCCTCTGCTGCAGCTCCAGCTGCAGCTCAGCTCAGAAGGAAGGCCAGGATGGGGAACAAATATTTATCTGGGTCTTCTTAAGAGTGTAGTTAAGCACTGATGTGTGGGGACTTTCCTCTGCAAACGGAGACATGGAGTAAGGTGATGCAGGATCCCATCTTTTCCCCACTGAGCTTCTGCCGAGGCCAAGGACAGACCTAGGGGTGGGGGGGAGCAGCACACAACGTCCCGTGCCTTGCAGACTATTGCTTAAGATGTTTGGGAGTTCATTTTGGGGGTATAGTCTAAACCTGGATCTGGAGTGATCTAAACTTACTGCTGGGAACTGCGTGAACCAGTAAACCAGGATGACTTTACGAGGCTGCGTCTGTTTTGTCATCAGCATCTTCCCTTGGTGAACTGGCAGATGCCCGTAGGGCAGAAGACCCCACAGCACGTGTGTCCCCTGCACGGCTGCAGCTTGGTCACCATGTGCCTCCCATGCCAGGGTTGTACCCAGCCCGTCGACACCAGCTGAACGGAAAGGCTTTGGGCATATCTTCTACTTAGCCAGCAGGAGAACATCCAAAGCTGGATTTAAACTCGTGGTTTATGTCCCTGGCAGTAGGGATGGTTCTGCCTTTTACCTCCTTCATGTGCGCAAGCTCGGGCTCATTCAGCCTTGGTACAGACCCATCCAGGAGACTCTCTGTGCGCTGAGAGCTGTTGTTTTGACACCGTTTATTCCGGGAGCCCAGGAGAAACAAACAGGTCAGTCAGCTTAAGCCCAGAAATCAAGGCTTGTCCTGGCAAGGACTGGCTGCCAGCCTGAGGCTCCGTTCAGCCATAAAAATTCCTGCAAGATGAAACCTGGGACCTGTGGGTTTTAAGTACAGGAGCGTCAGGCCTTGCCGTGAACGGCCCGTTCGCTCTGAGGAGATACACAGGGATGATGTGGTGGTGCTTTTCTTCCCGTAGGGACAAGCCCAGGCACAACGGCTGTGGGGCTGGGAGTGGCAGCTGGTGAAGTGGCCCGGTTCTGGTGGCGATGCCAAAGAACTGAAAACAGGACTTGGTTGCCCTTAGTGTTGCTTGTCTCTGTGAACTCGCTGCCCTTCATGACTGCGCTTCCTACCAGGAGATTTTAACCCTTCATTAGGCAGCGTGGAGGTCTCTTTCCTGACGGGTCTAAATTCCTCAGAAGGGCTGTCTCAGCAAAGGGACTGCCCAACCTTTGCCAGTTTGTCTTATTTTCCATGAATTTTGACTCTTCTGTGTTTTCTTCAGCACTCCTGCCCCCACAAAGTCATGTGCTCCATTATTTGCCTAAATCATATGCAGGGTAAGACAGCTCTGTTTCTGTGAGCAAATATTCATGGCATTTTATTCATTATTATTTTTGGGGAGGAATTTGCCTGATGTCAGCAGGTTTACAGAGCTTCTGCATTGGAGCTCACGGCCAGATCTCTTTGTTCACCTTCCTCCTGTCCCCTGGATTCCTCGCTGCCTTGGTGCTGGTACCTCATGAGGGAGGACCCATTTTGGGGTTAGTCTCTGGCCTGGGGACAGATACAGCACATGTAACTCCACGTATGTGCATTAGGTTTCTCACCTTAGTACAGTGGCCTGAACAGCAGATGGTTTGATTGCTAGAGGCCGTTAGAAAATCAAACTCTTACGGTAATGGCTGTGTCACTGTGGCTTCGAGACTTTCAGGAGGGTGAGATCCTGCTGAGAAGGCAAACGGAAGTGTTCTTTTGGGCTGTTTTTCCTATTCTGGTTTACTGGAATGACCATCCCAAATGGATATGGATTCACAAGAACTAACTTTGTAAGTAACATCCTCAGGCCAGAATAAGCAGCTTCTCATCACCCCACATCTGACACGCAGCCCTGTGACTTTTCCAGTGGGATGCAGCACAGACAGACTTTGCAGATCAGCTGAAATGTAGTTCCCATTGCTGAGAGCTGTGTTTGCCAGAGGCTTAGGCTGGCTTCTCCAGTGGCTGGAACTGGTCCATGTTAAAACTGGCAAAGAGTAAATGTGAAGAGAGGGTTGTTGCTGGGAGCTTGGACTCTGGCAGCTGGATTGGTGTAGCCTGCCAGTAGAGAGGAGGGCAGTGGCACGGCTATAGGTGCTGTCGCTTTAGAGCTGTCCTTGTACTCACCGAAGCCCTGCTAAAACATCCCTTTGCTGCAGCCACAGGACACACCCTTTCTGCCCCATCACTCCAGGCCTAGGACTCATGCCATGCTGGAAAAGAGACATGGGAGATGTCCTCTCCGCTGTCCTGCATCTGCACTGAAGACGGCATGAGGAGTGGGCAGGAGCGGTGACGTTAAGCACAGCGGAACGGAGCATTTCTAACATCAGTGGAGGCTGCTGCGAACCCCAGCATAAATAAAACCAGCAAGCAGCTGCTCAGCTACCTGGCACCATCCCTAGCTGCTAACCCCAAGTGTCTGTAGACGATACAAGGATTTTCCTCCTGGCCTCAGGCCTACCCATGCTGGGATTTATAAGGGCCTCTGCAGAGCTTTTTGGTACCATATCTGCACCAGACAGATTTTCCCTTGGCCAGCTTAGGGAGGTTTTATGGCCCCATATGTTAAACATCCAGGGCCTGGAATAGGAAGAAAATCTACTCCACCCTTTTTTGCCGTCCAAAAGTTGTCTGGAAGAGAAAGGCTGGACTGAGCTCGCTGTACAAGTGTCATGCTTCCCAGGCAGAGATGCAGGCTCATGTGTTGCGACCTGACCTGAGTGGCTGGAGCCCTTTCTCTCTGCAGTGTCGCACGGAGGCAGACATGGGGGATTGGATTGCAAAAACCCTCTGCTACTCCACAAAGTGGAGCACATGTGGCAGGTGTATTGAAGAAGCATGAGTAAGCCTTGCTTTTTATGTTGTGTTCAGTGATTTGAGAGGCAAAGCAAAGAGACTGTGGTCGCTGTTGTGTCGTGAGAGTGATAAATGGTATCATTGTTTTTGTTATCTGTAGGATGCTGGTGACTCTGGGGTGAATACAAAGGCTGGAATTCACTCACAGGGCTTGCCGTGGTTGTAAAAAGCTTGGAGATAGGGGGAGGAGAAGAGAAAAGGAAGTGGAGAACGTAAAATGAAGATGCACATCAGCAAAGTGAAGGCCCAGAGTTATGCTCTGTGCCTCAGGGGGCTGTAACTGTTCTGCAATCCTTTGGAAGGACATTAGATAATGGTATGTGTAAGAGAAGAGAAAGCAGGGACTTCTCCCACCCAGGCCCTTAGGAAATCTGGTGGCAGAACAGAAATGTGACTGAAGTCGGGTGCCTGCTGGCATTGCTGTTAGCCAGCAATGGGATCTTTCCTGGTGCTTTGCGGAGCCGGTTTGCTGTGATCGGTTATTTATAATCGCGGATGACAGTCACGCCGAATCAGGCCCATTGCCTGCTCTAGCCAACATCAGAGCCCATTAAATCAGCTGGGAGTAGTTTGACATTCTGGCAGTTTCAGTGGGGACCAAAAAAGAGTGAACTCTGGGTAAGGTGGCCCTCGGCTGAAAAGTGCTGCTGTGGATCATTAGTGCCCAAGCTCCTGACCTGAGGGCCAGCTCCTATCTTCCTGCCCTCGTGGCACAAGAGGCAGTTTCAAGTGTCTCTAAAATACTTATATCCCTCCCTTCACCTTACGATTTGCACCCTGAACAAAAGCTCAACCCCGAATTGCGCAGAGAATTCAGAGTGACGAGGGAGGCTGTGGCTGGAGAAAGGTCAAGCAGGACATGGAGAAATCAGGAGTTCAGGCAGCAAACTCACCTGAAGCATCTTCTTCCCTCGAGGCCAGGCTCGATGAGACGTGGTAAGAGACAGTGTGAAGAACCAAAGAAGCCCCCGACAGCACCTGCCAGCAGAAAGGAATAAAGCAAAGCGTTATTAATAGCAGTGACCCAGATTGCACTCTGAGGGTACAAATCTGGCACAAGAGGTGGCCCAGGCAGCTAAGAGGATATTTAAGAGAGGCTGGGAACATAACCCACCTGGCCAACTGCTAGGGGCAGATTCTTCCAACCTCACGCCAGGTCTCGGTGGCACTGACACGACACCGTGGCTAGGACCCACAGCCCATCGCCCAGGAATCATCTGGGTAACTGGCTAGTTGAGCAGACATTTGAGTAATCATAATTACTTTGTGGTACTCAGAATTTAGTTCCCGTCTGTTCACGCATGAGTGCACCTGCAGTTTTAAATTCAGAATCAGCTGGATTCCGCAGACTGGGCATTGAAGGAAACCTTCCCTGCATTTATAAAATACGCACGTTTTTCATGGAATCCCTCTCAGAAACGATTTTACGGGCCTGCCCCAGTTCTCACTAAAGTCAAGGCACTGAAGTCCTGGATGATCTGTTTCCTGAGCTGAGGAAAACTTGTTAAACGTGTTAGAATGTAGAAAAGAAATTAAAAAGGCTCAGCTCAAAACGCATGGAGGTAGCACACCTCAGCGAGCATCAGATAGTTGAAAATCATTTGTTTGGTCTTGGCAAGAGCTGACCTTTGCAAAGATCTCACACAGGAGACCTGGAAGTAGGACACTTGGGAGCATGACCATGTCTGATATTTTGGGAGGTTTGGCTCTTCATTTCCCATCTCAAAAAAAAAGGACTTTTTCTCTAAACAAACGATTTTTTTCCCCTTTTCCCCTGAATTCTGCCAAGACATGGGTGAGCGCCTGTGCTGTCTGCCTGTCCTCACACCAGAAAAGCCAACCACTGACGTGTGGAGCAAAATGGGGCTGTGAAGCAGTCGTTATTTCTTAGGACTTTGCCGAGCTGCTGCTGAGGCAGAGCAGACAAGGCTGCTTGTAGCTGCTGTAAGCTTCCCCCCAGCCCAAGCAGTGGTGAGGATTCCCTGCAGTGTGAAACAGGATCAGCCACAGCCTGGGAGACGGGCGTGGGGGAGGGAGCTGGTTTGCTCTCCCATTTTTTCCACCCCATGAAAGAGCTGCTGATGCTCTTTCAGGCTGAATCCTTCTCCGCCCCCTCCTTTACCCGACTGATCCCAAACTGAGACCCTTGAGAAGCTGCCAAATAAAGAGCTCTCCCATGGCTTAGAGTCTGAACCCAATTAGAACCCGCCCCCCCTTCCACTGAGCTGCCGGTTGTGGCAGAGCTGGGGAGGCCTGGATGAGATGACTGCTTCCCTCTCAAAGCACGGCCTCATTCCCCAGGCAGCCTCCGTCACCTGTCGAGGCCGCGCTGCCCAGGGAGCCAGGCGCTGCCGCTTTCCCGAGGCACGGCAGCAGGGCTGCTGGGAGTTTAATTCACTGGTTTTGTGGTCAGTTTGCCCCTGGTGCTGCAGAGCGCAAGGGACGCTTGGGTTTTTCGTGCTAAAGCCTCTGTGGGTTGGGGGGAAGGGAAGGACACAGACAGGGTTTTCAGCTGTGGTTAGGAAGGGAAGGAAAACGCTAAAGCAAGATGCAAATGTGCATGTTTGCTGAAACGCCTGTGCACACACACGCGTGCCGCCCTTGCTGGGAGGCAGGAGGGACACCCCTCCAAAGGAACAAATCCCTGCCCGCAGTGACACTGCGCAACAACTGCCCCAAAGGCCCTGCGGGATCCCATTCACAGGGAGCTGTTCTGAGAAAGGTTTCTCCGTTGCAGCCTCGCGTCCCCGCGTGCTGCCTGGCTCCCCTGAGCGGCCAAGAGCACGCCAGCAGCTAGACAGCTGCCCTGCAGTGCACAAGCATGCTGATAAAGCCTGTCCTTAAAGGTCGCTTTGGATCATTAGACCACAGTGGAGCCTATTAACGGCCAAGCAGCCTGGCTGGTGCAGTAGCTCTGGTCTGGCCGTGGTGCGTATGAGAGCTGAGAGGAGGTGTCAGTACAACTACTGAAGTAGACTTACTTGCTCCGGGTATCATTGGCGTGTCGCTCGGTCGTTAATCCTCCCTCCCCTCAGCTGGTGGGTGCGGACTGTGGTGTCCTGGGGTGTAGCGCTGTTCTCCGCTTGCGAGAAGGGCGCCTAAGAAAGACCAGGGCACAGACAGGATTAGGGACTTGACAGAGATGGTGGTGAGGGTCTGTGGCACTTGGAAAGCCAACAATTTGGAGCTTTTCCGTTTTCATACTACTTAGGAAACTCGACCTAACCTCCCTGTGCATTTATCACTAGGAAGACTTGTTGTGTAGGGCAGGGTTGGGTCTTGCAGCTGGTGACTAGAAGTAGACATATAACATTTCTGTAGGTTAAGCTTTGGGTTTTGCCATCCCTAATCTTCTGTCTCATCCACAGCGCTCAATTATCACCCCTGCCACAGCGGGTAAGGGTATGCAGCTCTTACAGCCGTGGAAACGCCTCTTTATTCAGGGACTTGGATAAGTAGACCCTTTTCTAACAGGCTTTTTCTTTCTCCCTTGCAGAACTTTGCCAAAGAATTTGTGATCAGTGACCACAAAGAGCTGGATGAGGATTACATCAAGAACGAGCTGAAGAAAGCAGGGGGGGCTAATTACGACGCACAGACTGAGTAAGCGCATGAACCTCCTGACACCATCACCTGGATCTCAAAGGGAGGGGAAAGGCACAACCAACTAACACAACTGAGAGATGAGGCAACTGAAATCCCCAGCTTTCTGCCTCTCCACCTAAGAGCTCCCTTCCTTTGCATACAGCGGACTTTTATTTTCCATTCCATCTCATGAAACATCCCTCTCCGGGGTTCTGGGGTTTTCCCTCCCCCATTTTTTTACTCATAATTCCATATCCAATTTAGGCTTGGCTCTGCTTTGGTCCTCTCCAGCATTGTGTCCGTAGAGGCTTGCCATCGTGTCCTTCTTCATATGCGTGCGTGTCTGTTTTTTAATGGGGTTCAACCCGGTCTTTGAGGGGAGAAAGTTTTTGGGGAGTTCTGAACATTGATTATTTTGATTTTTTTTTTAATTTGTTCTCACTGATATTCTGAGGGGAGAAAGTTTTTGGGGAGTTCTGAACATTGATTATTTTGATTTTTTTTTTTAATTTGTTCTCACTCATATTCTTGGGAATAATATTTTTTTGCTGTTCTAGGCTCAGATCAATTTGAATTGAGATCACTCAAACCTTGATTAAATTCTCTAAGCTTAAATCTCCAGCTGAGATGTTATCTAACTGCTTAAAAAACAAAGCAAATAAACAAAAAAATTCTTCAACTCTTAATAAACGGGAATAAATTTGCCTTAAGCATTGCTTGACAGTTGCTATGCCATGTGCTGCATCTCTACCCCTCCCTCTTAAAACTAAGATCCACCATGATCCGAACGTGGAGGTTTTGTTTTTTGGAAGTACCGTGGCACAGTAAAGCGAGGGGCTTAGAAATGTCTGGACACTTGGTGACTATTTTGTGTACGTTGGTCTCTGGGTTTGTATTTGGCTTTCCTAACGCTGGGGCTCAGGAGGTGAAACTGGAATGCATAGATTTTTCTTTTTAAATGATGTCTGCAAGAAATAGCAGCCACTGAATCCTAGCAGCCTTCTCTGCCCATGTCCCACCTGGGTCTTTGCAGTTAAACACAACATCTTCCGTGATTCGGGGCCCTCCAGCAGCGAGACATCCTGCAGCTGTGACCGAGGGCTGGAGCAGAGCAGCTCCGGCCCAGATGGGATGAAACACTCAGCAGCAGAGGCTCAAATAACCCGGGCACAGTTTGTTGGGTACCAAACCGTTTGTTTGGGGGGCTTCTTTGTATGGATTCGTTTTCCCATCAAAGGTAATTGTCCCCAGAGTGATGTGTAGGGGGAAACTGTGCTGTACTGGGGCTTGGGAGTCAGGACTACAAATCCATTGCAGAAATAAATGTTTTTCAAGAACAGTTCTCAGCGACTCTCTTGTTCTTTTACCTTCCCTGCAACAACAAGGCTATATTTAGGAGGTTTCTTAATCCTGGGTGTAAGGCTTGGAGCTCTTGCAATCTTGGGGTTATTTAGGAGAATGAAACACTGGCTTAAATTTAAAATTATTTCAGTGCCTGCAGCCCTTGTCTGCTTGTCTCTCTGCTCTGAAAGCCAGAGGTGACCACAGTGCATCTGACACACTTTTTCAGCAGCTCTACATCTAAATTTCCAGCACCGAAATGCCAAGTGGGAATTGTAATTAGGTCAAAGAGAATTTCACACCCATGTGAAATAAATGTAGAGCGGTCAGGAACAGATTTGGGAGCAAGAACACCATTTGCAGAGTGAAGTTTTGCAGCCTCCTGTGCAGGGTTACATGGGGTGTTACAATTCTGGACTGAACTTACTGAAACTTGCCCTGAAAGAAGGGAAATGGTAATTTTTTACAGGACTGACAGTAGGGACAGGCATAACGAACGGGAAGGAGTTTTGCAGAGAGCTTGCGATGCTCTGAGGCTTTGCCTTACCAGTTCAGTGACCACGATAAACATTTATTTGACAGTTGGTGGGGCACTGGGATAAACATCAGCCTGGGCTTGAAGCCTGGCAGCAGTATGGCAAGAAATTCATTTGCACCAGCTGCGGAGAAGGGTTTGATGCAGTGCTCAAGGAGCTCAGCACAGCGGCGAAACAGCTTTCTCAGCCGCTGAAGGCATCCGAGCAAGGCAGAGTGGAGCACTTGTGCTGCCCTTGGTGGGCTGGCTCCAAGGATGGAGGAAGCGAAGGCATCACCCTGGCCTCTCGGCTTGCTTTAAGCACATGCCTCCCACAGAGTATTTTTCTAGGCTCCAGTGTGCTCCTACAAGATAACCATCCCATTTGCCTTTAGTCCAGGTCGCAGAACACGTAAGATCCCAGATTGCCTCTTTGCATTGTCTCCATGGTGTACTGGCACACGCAGGCCCGTTTTGACCCTGGAAATACCAAGCTTGCAGTTGCTAGTACAGCAATTGCACGGGCAACATTAGATACACATGAGAAAAATGAGGAAGAGGAGGAATTACTTATTTGTGCTAAGACATCAGGATAAATCCTTATGGAAAAAACTAGCTTAATGAGTGATACAGAGAATTAGTGGGGTTTTGTTTTGCTTCCAGCCTCAATTTCATTTTCCTGCACAGGCTACCTCAAAATACCAACTTGCTAGTGCTCTGAAGAACTCCGTGGGCAAAAGGCAGGATGAGAAATACCGGAGCACCGCTGCTGGTCTGTCCCTGGCCTCACTGGAGCGCAGCTGGGTCAGTTCTGAAAAACCCACCGGGGAGTTCTTGTTTGTGCAGCCCTGTTCCTTGCACAGCACTGCAACACCCAAGTCCATGCTTGTCAAACCCTGACTCAAATATGAGATGATCTGGGTCACAAAGAATGTCCTAGAAACACACCCAGCCCCAACCCCAGCCCCAGCCGATGGATATACATCCCAAGTGGCTCCCTAGGAGCGTTTGGGGCAAAATGTGTTTCAGGGATTCAGCGCTTCCCTCCCTCTCTACTCATCACTCCTCTAAGAGTCATCTAATTTAGACATTAAATGGCTTGTTTTTACAGCGTGGATTATACTTCAGCATTACCAAATGGTCTTTGTTTTCCTCAGGAGAGTGAGTTTATTGGTATGGAGACAAACCCTTCTCATGTTTGCAACAGGAGCAGCTCAGCTCGTCACAGGCGCTGCCCGTGCCTGGTGTAACTCATAATCTGCTCTGCAGGCTAAAACTTCCTTCTGGGGTCAGCTGTTGCCTGGCTGGAAAAGTATTTACCCCACAGTGCTTGCGTGCATTATCCTTCCTTGGCAATAATTAAGAATGCAAGAAACAATTGACAAAAACTGAGCAGAAGAAAGACTGGGACATGAATAAAAAGATCAGTAATTTGTGGTGCATTTGTGCTTGGCACATCCCAATAACACAACATACATTGGAAGTTGCCTCTGAAGCCTCCAGGCCTGCTCAGGATCACCCTCACAGCACATCAGTGCGGCTGAACGCTGCGAGGGGCTGATGCTCCCATCAGACAGACTAGGGACTCTATTATGGACGCTATTTTGCACCTAGAGTGGTGGAGACAAAGAAGGAATTAAGAACACCTACTCTTTCTGTAATACTTCCCATCAGGAGGTCTCAGAGTGTTTCAGAAAGATTAGTATAAACCAGAGTACAAGTACCACGGAACTGAAGCAGAAAGAGCAGCCCACGTGTTAAGGGCCCACAGCCCAGCCTGGGGAGTCTAGCGCTCCATCCTGGGATTTATGCTCATTACCATATGAGACACAGGGTTTCATTTTTTCTGTAGTTTTCTACAAAGTCGGGTGCTCTGTTTTATGTCCACTTGATATTCAAAGCTCGGTTTTTTCCTTATCAGCCCTTTCATTGGGCTTTAAAGAGCTGCTGCGGCACAAAGGCTGGCGGGTGCGTTCTAGGAGCTGGCGGTGTCCCTCGCCCACAGCTCAGGCGGGGGCTTTGCCATATGTCGGGGCTCGGGGCCGGGGCGGCTGTGCCTCCGACAAAGCGAGGGAGAGCGTGAGCGGCAGCGACAGCACGCTGGGGGCTGTGTCTGGCAAGGAACAGATTGAAACGGTTCAATGGCTGCTCTATATTTGGCATCGCCAAAGGATCTTCTATCCCTGCACATTAGGAGCGCAGCAGACGCGGGGCAGCATCCACTTTTAGCAGGGAGGGAGCAACGGAGCTGAGCTAAAGATCCTCCAAAACTTGATTACTACAGAGTCAGACACAGCAGATGACTTCATTGAGCAAGTCGAGACTGGGGAGCTTTTATGCAGTGCAGACAGATGGTGCCGAGGGATGGGGGGCATGGGTGGCCCCCCAAGCCATGTTTAGGAGGCCATGGTAGCCGTCAGGGAGAAAAAGGCTTAGTACCCACAGAGAAGTCGTGGTTTGAGCACGGGAGACAGCAAGGCCGCTCTGAGTCAGCTGCAATACGCGAGCAGCAAATTCTCACTCCGAGGAGGAGTAAGCGGGGCTTTGCAGAACAGAAAATAGCTGAACCAGGCCACCCTGGCCACACAGACTGGCCTGTGGAAACGGCCGGCGTGCTCTGCGCGTGTTTTTATAGCTGCTGTCCCCAAGAGTGCATAATGCCAGATTACAGGCTGGTGTTAAGCAGGCTCTGCTGATCTCTCCAGCTTGAGTTGTTGCAGCTATTTAGCAACGAGCAGCGGAGGAGCTGCAGAGAGGAGTGAAGGGGAGATGCAACATATTTTGTGCATTACAGCCTAAGTCTAGCTCAGCTCAATGCTCCCCGACACAGCACAAAAAGGAACGTTGTTTAACCGCCGTCCATACATGAGCTATAAGCTCCGTTCCAGGCGTGACGACAGCATCTCATTTTCTTGCCTGGTCTCCAGTGGACGCGCTTCCGCTTACTCCTGGCACTGGATCTCCTAGTTGTGGTGCTTGGGTGAGGGCTGAAAACAGGGAATCTCTCACAGATTTCCCCAGACTGTAACCAGAGGTTGTGGAAGGGGAATATATCTCTTACTGAGCTATGAAGTGAGATGTCCTCCACCCCCAGATCTCACACTTCTGCAACTCTCTGGTGTGTAATGGGGTCAATGTGTTAACGCAGTCCTCATCTAAGGCTTGGCTTTGTGTCCCAAAGAGGCAAAACACGGAAAGAGATGGTTTAATTGCAGCACAATGAACTGCATATGGATCAGTGGGAACGAATGCCATAAAAGACCATTCACAGCCCTACTCAGGCCTCAGTGGTATGGGCTTCCCCAGTGTGATTTGAACCTGTGCTGGCAATCCATCTGCTAAAACACTATCTCTCCAGCC